CTCTCCCTCTCCCCATCTCCCCTGCTCAAGCTGTCTCTCTCTCTTTCTCTCTGAAATAAAATGAAAAATTAAAAAAATCCCTCCATTCTGACTCCTTGACCAATACTCTGTGTGGTGTAGCACAGCATGTATGTTATTAGAATGTGTGAGTATTCCAAGACTACTACGTAGCACCTGGTAATGATAGACACTCCGTTAATGTTTGTTGCATCATGAATAAATTAATCATGAGATGATTTGTAGTTAATGACCTCTCTGCCAAGTTAAAAAAGGTCATTTTTTATGATCCCAATGAAACGTTGGCATGTTAGAAACTCTGATTTTGGCCTGTTATAGGACTAAGCCAGTTGTTACAACAGATTGTTTTTTGTTATTCTTAGGATCACCTGCTGTTACCAGCTACCACCCATAACAAGACCACAAGACCAAAGATGTCAATTGTATTACCAGCAATAAACATAAATGGTAAGTTGAAGTTTTGGTTTAATAACAACATGGGATTGCTTTACTTAACCAATATTCTCTGGATTAACTAAAAGACATTTAAAATGTTTGGTTGGTCAGATATATATCCTTGCATTAATTTTGAACCATTTTCCACTGTTTTTACAAAATACTAGTTTTAAATTCCTATACTCTTTCTAAAAATAACTCTTTTAAAAAGTAAAAGATTTGGGGCGCCTGGGTGGCGCAGTCGGTTAAGCGTCCGACTTCAACCAGGTCACGATCTCACGGTCCGTGAGTTCGAGCCCCGCGTCGGGCTCTGGGCTGATGGCTCAGAGCCTGGAGCCTGTTTCCGATTCTGTGTCTCCCTCTCTCTCTGCCCCTCACCCGTTCATGCTCTGTCTCTCTCTGTCCCAAAAATAAATAAACGTTGAAAAAAAAAATTAAAAAAAAAAAAAAAAAGTAAAAGATTTAATTTAAAGTTACTTTTAAAATTACTGTAGTTTTAAGAGAAAAAATTCATTCTCTTACTTACAAAATTGGAAAAGTTAGCATCTTGACTGCTCTACAGACTTCTTTTCTGTGACCTTTCTAGTGATACACATAGTATAAGAGGCCTCTGCCGGCTTCTGAGAGTGAACTTGCAAGTTGGGTTTTAGGAACTCTGAGCAGTTTCTTGTATTATATAAATGGTGACATGATTCCCAGACCAAATATCAGAAGCCTATTTATGTTTAGTCCATAATACTGATGAATTTGATTTCGATAGTGTCACGATTGCATTTTGTTTTCCTACTAGTGCTGGGTATTACCGAAAACACAAATAATGTTGTAACACCTTGGTATCATCTAAAGATGTTAAGGCATCTTGCTCATAATCTAGAAAAAAGAAAAGAGCTTAGAAATCACTGTGGTCCAAAGAGAAAGTCCCATAAGGAATATACGAAGTACTAAAGAAATTTAGTAAAGGAGAGATTATTTCCAGCTGGGTTCTTCATGGAAAAGAGAAGGAGCTTACTCCCAATGCCAGCTGTGTGTTGTAAATGAGCACAGTGTATATCGTTGACTAATTGCTTTCTCTGACACATCATATTAGGGCTCTAATGCAACCGGGGGGACTGGCCATCCTTCTCAAGTCCATTTCTCGGACGTAATGGAACTACCCGTACTTTTTCTGTCTAGGAGTAGGAACCTCACAGTTCATGGGTAAGCCAAAAATGAAAAGCTCCTGGAACTAACCTGTAGTTGAGCTAGTTCACATTCTGACTGACGGTCGTAGTTAAACAACCACATACAATTATTAAAAAACAAAACGAAACGAAACAAAAATCGCTGGGATTCTAGATAAATTCCAGTAAGATTTAGTCTTGGAGAAAAAGTATTAGATATTCATTGTACATTTTAAGACCGTAGAGGACTATAGAATTTCAATGAGCCGATTCCCGACCGCTTATTAGAAATGCTCAGGAGGCAGCTTTATAGATATAAAAGAAAAACTTTGCTTTGCTAATGTCTAAAAGCATTATGACATTTTCTTAGTCTTACAAAGACATTAGAACAAATTTTTAAAAAACAAACAAACTGGAACACCGAGAACCTCTCTTCCTTCAGCAAAGGCACACCTCCAGAGCTTTCATGGAGCAGTCCTACAACTACGTCAAGAAGAGCAGTACATTCCAAAGACTATGTTTACACTCGAAAGAAGATGTTTAGGAAGTAATCGTCTATTCTTATTTCATGGGTACCTAGGTTTCTGTGCTTTGAACCATAATAGATTTAAGTTCTGGTCAGCTCACGCTCAGAAAGGCTGTTATCTAAGCTTCAAAAGACAGAATTCACGGAATCTTGTTCTGATATTATGTTCTTATGCAAGAGAATGCCCGGTGTCATTTTTATAACAGTGAGCTATCCATAGTTATTAAGCCAAAAACAATAAGATGCTATTCCACTCTGTTTATCTTGGCCCGGAGACCAATTTTTGCAAATGAGCCTTTCATGGGTTTAAAGAATACAGTCACTAGAGGATCATTTCCTTTTTAATCTGGCTTGGATTTCTTGGTAAATAAATTCAGTTTTTTCCTTTTTAGAGTACAGTAAACCATTTGAAAAGTTAAGATTCAAATTCAAGAGATACTGGTTGAATGTATAGCACGTGCTAAGCACCGTGTGGCATCCTCGGGCTCCGTTCTGAACGGTCCCTTCACTGTTTGCTCTGGGGATCCGTCTCACGTTAGAATCTGATTTTGCCTCCTCCCCTCATGTGCCTGTGAGCCTGCAGGTGGGGTGGGTGTATCCTTGCTCCCCACGGCAACTTCCACATCATCTCTCCTCCTTTTCCCCTCAGTCCCCCTGACATCTTAAACTGTATAAAATCAGGCTTTACTCCTCTGACCCCTGTTTGTTGCCGTCCTCCCCCACCATCACCGATGACTCACCGTCACTGCTTTTGCTAGCTCTCTGTACAACTTCAGCATCCGCACAGAGGATTCATCCAGCACCCCCGCCTCTTTGGACCCAGTTCCCATCCATATGGTCATCCTCTAGACCTCATCACCATCACTGGTGCACTGACTGCCCTTGAAAACCCATCTCCAAGCATCCCACTCCTCCCACTGCCCTGCGTGGCTGGGCAGGGCAGTTCGTTCTTCCGTAGCTCGGCCGCCTCATCGGCGAAAGGAGAGATGCCTTATACCTTTATCTTGGAGTTGGCGAGAGAACGAAATGAGCGAAGGCGCTTTAAATAGCGCCTGGCTCTTCTCTGGCTCTTCTCCGCCTGGTCGCGCGTGCCCCTGGGTCACGGTCGTCGTTGTCACGCTCACCGTCACGGGAGGGGCTTCCTTCCTTTTGGATCCCGCGTCGCGGCCCCTCTCACGATTTCAGACCCTTGGCCTCTGCACCGACGCTTCCCGTCCTGCGCGGTCAGCGTCTTCTCCGCCCCATCGCTACACACAGCGTGTTAATACCGCCCGGGTGTGGGGCGGCCCTCCCAACGCCCAGGTTCCCTGTGGCCCTTCAGAGAAACACTCTTGGAAGGGTTTGCTCATCTCTGGCTCTCTCCTCCACACTCACGTTGTGGGTTTTTTTCTGAACCGTTTTGAGACCGTGTTGCAGACACTCTTACATTTTACCCCTGAATGCTTGAATATGCATCTGCTAAGCAGGGGGTATTCTACATAAACACAGGAAAGTGACTACACTTAAAAAAAGTTTGGGGCACCTGGGTGGCTCAGTCGGTGGAGCATCTGACTTCAGCTCAGGTTATGGTCTTGCGGTTTGTGAGTTTGGGCCCCACGTCTGGCTCGCTGCTGTCAGCCCAGAGCTCCATTTCAGATCCTCTGTCCACCCCCCCCCCGCCCCTTCCCTGCTTACGCTCTTTCTGTCTGAAATATAAGTAAGCATTAAAAAAATAAGTTTACGGGTGCTTGGGTGGCTCAGTTGGTGGAGCATCCCACTTGGGCTCCAGTCGTGATCTCACGGTTCATGAGTTTGAGCCTGGTGTCAGACTCTGGGCTGACGGCCCGGAGCCTGGAGCCTGCTTCAGATTCTGTGTCTCCCTCGCTCTCTGCCCCTTCCCGATTCATACTCTCATTCTCTCTCTCCCTCTCTCTCTCTCTCTCTCTCTCTCTCTCAAAAATAAATAAACATTAAAAAAATAAGTTTAGCGTTGATACTATACAGTTCAACATATAGTCCATTCACATTTCCAGTTTGCCCCCAAAATACTCCTCACAGCTTTTTGTGGGGAGGGATTCAGAATCCAGACACCATATATTATACCCACTTGTCACCCCTCTTTAGCACCTTTTCATCTAGAACCCTTGCCTTTAAAAACAAAATTGGTCTTTCATGATGTATACACCTTTTAGAAACCAGAGTTATTAAAGTATAACGTCCATACAGTAAAAACTAACAATTTTATGTGTACAGGTTAACGAGTTTTGACAAATGTAAACGGTTGTGAAACCACCACTCAATCATGATACAAACGTTTTCCTTATTTCAGAATGTTTCCTTGTACCCTTTCGCAGTCATTCCCCTGAAGTCCGTATTTTGACATTCCTTCCTCTTGAAACGCTTCATTTTATATGCTCTCATGAAACCCTGGCTCGTCTAGTTTTCCTTCTGTGTCTCCTTCTCAGTTAGCTCAGCCAGCTTCTCTGTGAGGACAGCACGTTTGTCTGTCATGTTATGTTTGCCAATTACAACCCGGCACCTACCACAATGTCTGGTGTGTAAGAAAATTGCAAGACGAGGCACTTTGATCTGTGCTAATTCAGGTAATGCTCACCTGCCAGCTAAGTATTATCCTCCTTTCATAGATGAAGACGGTAAAGCTCAACAAAGTAATTTGTACTGCTTGTACAGCCACTGCACCCCCGAGAGCCAAGAGCCAAGAGCCGGGATTTAAATAGTGTATAGAATACATCCTGATTAATGAGTATATTGTTATTTCAGTGTTAAAGACAGATATATGAATATCAAAAATGATTGGGATTCCAGAATTTAAGGTAGATTTTTATACCACTTTATCCCTTAGGGGGTAAGGCTGTGCACATTCGGTGAGCGCAATATAATGCAGTGTGATCCGTGTGTTTTGAATTTGATAGGCTCACGCTTGTTGAATGACAGATTAATTAAGTAAGGTAAATGCTATTTGGTCATTACTTTGTGGTCACTTGAAAGATTTTACTATTTTAATTCTTCACATGATTAAAAACAGTTGGCAAGCACGGTTTTTCCAGTCTTTTCAAATGTAAATGAATTTAAATGTGTACTTAGTTAACCTTTCTACCACATTGGTCGAGATTTGGAATTCACGGTAAAGAGTGAATTGAAATTATTAACCTCCTTTTCAATGCTTGTTGTACAAAGGAAAATGCATGCAAAAAATGGAAGGGGGTGCCTGGGTGGCTCAGTCGGTTAAGCGTCTGACTTCGGCTCAGGTCGTGATCTCGCGGTCTGTGAGTTCGAGCCCCGCGTTGGGCTCTGTGCTGACAGCTCAGAGCCTGGAGCCTGTTTCA